ATAGATAGATAGATAGATAGATAGATAGATAGATAGATAGATAGATAATGGGTGGATAGATGGATAGACAGAGGGGTCTTCTGTGCTCCCACGTGGTAGGTGGAGTTTTTGCTGGGTGAGGTGGACCTTGGTACCTAAATCCTGAAGGTGAGTCCCGTGTGTGTTGCTGTGTTTGTATGGACCCTGGGAGGGCCGAGGGGGAAATGTCCCTGCTCACCAAGGCAGGTGAGGCCGCCCAGCAGCCCAGCCCTAGAGCTTGGCCCATAGCCCCCCCGCCCCTGTCTGGAGCAGACAACTCTAGCGAGAGTAACCAGTGACCCCTCGGCTCACCTGCGCAGCCCCACCTACGTGCTCCTTCTGCTAATGCTCGGCTCCTTCGTGGCTCCTTCCTCCTCCTCCTCCTCTGGAAAGCAGCCGAAGCCCTCCTGGCACCCGTCCAGCTGTGCCGGAGGGGGCAGAACAGCTGGAAAGCCCCCCCCCCGCATTCATCCTTCTGGCCTCCTTCGCAGGAAGGAGCAAGCAAAGTAAGAGAGCAAGCCCTCCTCAGGTTGGGAAGAGGGTGTGTGTCTGTGTCTGTGTGTGTCTCTCTGTGTGTGTGTGTACACGTAGGAGCACAGCCTTCCCTTTGGAGCCGGGGATTTTTCCCTTCTAAATGAGCTGCACAATTGTAAAAGTCAACCCGGGCACTTGTGGCCCTGGAAAGGGGCTGCTCCGTTTGTTCTTATTTTTCTCCCCAAATTAGTCACAAATGCTTGTTTATTTCATGACAAGGTCAGCAAAGCAGCCTCCGAGCAGTTGGCCTCCCAGGCTCTGCCCAGCTCTGCAGGGAAAAGGTGTTGATAGTCCTTGACTTACAACCACGATTCAGCCCAAATAATTTCTGCTGTTGTAAGGCAGCGATGCTGAGAACCTTTTTGTTGAGGTAGGCCGAAGGCACGCGGGTGTGCCGGCACCCACAATGCAATATGCCCCCGTGCGCATACGCACGCAACACCCCCCTCCCCTCCCCTTACCCGCACTGCGCATGGGTGCGCAGCTCCCAGCTGAATTTCGGCCTCTTTGAAGCCGTTTTCGCCCTCCCGGAGGCTTGAGGGAAACCTCGGCAGCCTTTGGAGGCCGAAAAACAGGCCTGTCCCAGCACTTCCGGTCTCTCCGGAAGGCCCGTTTTTTGGCCTCCCGAGGCTGCCGAGGCTTCCCTCAAGCCCTGCAGCGACTGTCAGAAATCAGAGTCAGTTGTTTAAGCATCTGAATGTAAATCACGTGACCCAGGGGATGCTGCAACGGTCGTAAGCGTGAAAAACGGTCATAAGTCCCTTTTTCAGGGCAGTTGGAACTTTGAACGGTCACTAAATGAACTGCTGTGAGTCGGCTGTTATGAGAGTCGGCTGTTGCTTTGATTCTGAGCTGGGGAGGGGTCTGGAGGGGACAGCCCAGGTGGGCGAAGGGGTGGTAACGGCCAGGCACGGGTGCAAGATGGCTGGGCTTCCCAAGGGCTGCTGAATCTACCTCTGTCCCCGTGAGGCGGGGGGTTGCACTAGATGACCTACGGGGTCCCTTCCAACTGCTAATCTGATACAGAACTGATCAAAGGATTTCCCTGTGCCGGAATCGGAGGGACGCACCGGGCACCGATTCAGCAGCAAGAAATGCCAGGGGGTCGTTTGCTGGGCCCTTTCCCCGTTTCTCTCCTTGGGGTGCAGCCGGCTTTTCCAAAACAGGGAATGAGAGAGTTGGCAGGGACTTCGGAGGTCTTCTAGTCCAACCCCCTGCTCAAGCGAGACACCCTGTCCCAGTTCAGACAAACGGCTGCCCGGTCTCTTCTGGAAAACCTCCACAACTTCCGGTGGCAAGCAGTTCCCCGGGTTGATTGTTCTCCCCGTCAGGAAGTTTCTCCATCCGTTGCTTCTTGTCCTGCCTTCGGGGGCTTTGGAGGATAGCTGGACGGCCCCCAAACTGGGATCAGCCCAGCGCTTCAGCCCCCCTGGACTTCCTCTGCTGGCCGGGAAAGCGACCAGACTGGGAGGGTCTCCGTCAGCTCCGGTCTCCTCCCCCCCCCCTCCCCCGCCCGCCCAGCCCTTCCTTCCTCCTCCTCCTCCCTGTTTCTTGTAAGCACAGCTGAGGAAGTAAACAATAACAGGAGGGAGTTTGTGCTTGGACGTCCTTTCACAGCTAGCCAGGAAGGGAGCAGAGCCCAGCAGTGGAGGGACCCCAATTCATGCTGGCGGGGAGGGGAGACCCCTGCAAGCCCCCCCCCTCGCCCCCCCC